GCCATGGTCGCTCTCTCTCAAATAAATAAATAAAGTCTTTAAAAGAATAAAATAAAACTTAAGACCCTTCAAGGATTCTTACCAGAGACCGTCCAACATCTATAGCAAGGGCCAGAAAGCCACAGCTCATGGATCAAATCCAGCCCACTGGCAGTTTTTTGTAAATAACGTTTTATTAGAACACAGACAGGCTCATTCATTTCCATACTATGTGCTTTTGTGCAACACTGGCAGAATGGAGTAGTTGAAACACAGATCCCGTGGACTGCAAAACCTAGAATATTTAGTATGTGGTCCCTTATAGTACAAGTCTACCAATCCCTGATCTACAGGACGAAACCCAAATTCCCTAGCTAGCACACAAGGCCCTTCTTGATCTGCCCCCCATCAACTCTGCCAACCACAGATGCCCCCATTACTTCCCTCAAACTTCTTACCTATGTTTAATGCTTATGAAATATGTCATATATGATACAGAACTCTACAGTAAACTATCCATCATGTCAGGGTGCCGAAGTCCCTAAAGGGCACCACACACTGACCTTGTGTTCGGTGGGATCGGATAATACTCATGGAGCTAATCCAGTCTGGAGAGATCTTTGATACTAAGGAGTATAACACCTCAAGGCTGGTGGCATCCACAACGAGGATTTCAGGATAGTGGCCATGGCATAAAAGCCTTCCTTCTCTCTGATTTCCAACAGAAAACTGGTAGAACTAAAAGGAAAAAGAGTTTTAAATGTTCTTTTACTTCTGAGACTTGATTCGCAAGCACTCATCAAGCTTATTATGGCACTCAATTTCTCCAGTAATATTTCCAGACAAGTACTATATGGCACCTATTATAGGTGTCTATGTATATATATACACGTCCATCAAGTTACATTAATATTTCAAAATATCTAACAAAAATTATTCTTTTCCTAACATCCTCCCTTTTGAATTATTTTGGAGCAGAAGTCACAGTAATTCTTCATTTTTAATCCTCCTATAGCATCTAAAACAGGATTGTTGAATGAATTCATAAAACACCTCAATAAAATCAGCTTCACAAATCAAAGCAAAAGGAATCCCTTCACAAAGCAAAGCAAAAATATGAATTTTAGATGAATGGGAATAGGTGCGTATAGGCTTATAATTACTAGTTATGACCAAATAAAATTTAGAAGATGACTGTTGTTCAAACATGTTATAATCAGCAATAAATTCTGATTAACCTAAGTGTGTTATTTCAGACTAAAGTATGAGACAACCATGTAAATCATCCTCATAATGCATATTTATACTTTGTGGAAGAAAAAGAGAGGAAGAACCAACACCATCATGATCTACATGTTACTCATCCCAAGAATAACTCAAAAGGAAAAGATGGGTTTCCATCAACCAAAGAGCAGAGAAAGAATAACTATCAAAACAAGACTAACAACTTCTCAAATGACCTGTCTCCCACTAGCTTTAAAAAAAAAAGTGATTCTCCAAGTGGAATGAATCTCCTAGAGGATTACTAGAAAGTGAAGACATCTAACAACCAGACTACTAGTTCCCAAAGGATTGGACCTTACACGAATCACGTGACAGCAAGCTAGACTGAGCACAAAGGGCAATGCTGTAACCACTCCACAACTGGGGAAATAACTAAAGGAACCTTGGTCCAGTCTGCTCCCACACTCATCAGTCCTGTTCTCAGGCTCAACGTTGCGTGTGAAGGAATACAATCTTCTCTCAACTATGGGGTACCCTGATAAGAAGAATTACAACTTCTTAAACATAAATACTGATCACAGAGTACATTAACTAAGAGCATTGACAAAAATTGACCCACTTTACAGATCATATCCTGTTTATTAGGAATTAGACTCCAAGAGGAGGGTCTAATAAAACACAGACAACCACAGAGGGCATTTATAGATCTTAGAAGGTTGATCCAAAAAACAGGACACACAACTTGGAGGTTCCAGGGACTGCCAGGCACTCTCATATGATAACGTGACCGTAGGCAACCCTGACCCATCTAAGGGGAAGAGGGTCGGGGAGGAGAAGATGTGTGCAGAGAAGCAGACTCTGTCAGTACCCACCCGACACCAGCCCAGAGAGACACGTGCACTGCAGTTAGTAAGAACTCTCTCCTGGGGGCAGGGATATTTTATTAGCCTTGCCTGATAAATGCCTCCCACCTTTTGCTTTAAAGTTATACTCCCAAATAATCTTCTGACCACTAAATTTAGCTCCCTAGACATTTTCATACTAACAAAAAAGTATCCTGAATGGAGAAACAATTTTTCCAAATATTAAAAAGGGATCTCCCATGTGATAATTTAGTAAGTTGGCATCTCCTTGTGATTTCAGTAAGTTGCCAGTGTGACCAAGGTTTACCATTTCTGCTTATACAAACAACTCGCTCTTGGACCTGAGAGAGTGAAGATCACACAGGAAACAACTGTCCCACACTAGTGAACCTGTCAAAGAGCATCTTCTACTTAGAGACAGCTACCAAGTTAAATGCAGGACCTATTACAGGATCTGAGAAAGAACAGGCACTAAAAATATATTGAATAAACAAAGAGAATTTTTCCTAACATGTAAACCAAAAGTTCTTAAATCATGGAACTATAAAAGTCAAAATGTTTATATCCAATGAGTTCAAGACATTAAATAATCTATAAAATCACTAATTATATTATCATTTATTATCCATTTTCTCTCTATAAACCTTGATGATTCATCATATGATAAAAAATAAGTAACATATGCCCCTTAAATAAAAAGCATACACTCTAACAACACTGAAGAAGCAATTTTTAAAAGGCCTTTGCGAGGGTAAGAAACAGTAAAAAAAAAAAAAAAAAGACTTTATTACACAAACCACCACGTCACCCTGAAACATTTTCCATTGCTTTTCTAATTTGTGTTGGCACAAGTTTTCCTTCCCAATAAATGACTGTATTTGTTTGAGGGAGACAGTATGATATAACCGAAAGAATAGAAAGATGAACCTGATTTGGGATCCTGGCGCCAGGAATGACTCACTGTGAGACTGGGACAAGTCATTTAATCACTCTGGGTCTCAGCTTCCTTCTGTGTAAAATAGTATACTCCTATCTCATTTGTAATGATGGGAGGAGGACTAAATGAAACACCATAACAGTATGTGCTCAGTAAAAGTTAGTTCTCTTCTCTTCCCTCGCTTGCCCCACTGAGAACATAAATCATATTTTCAATGGACTTGGGATTTTCCCAATATTCAACAGAGTAAATGATGCATAAACTGAAGGACAAAAAACTTGACAATTACGAAAGAGTAAGAAGGAATACCAGGAATAGACGTCAGAAACTATAAATTCGTATGTAAATTCTTGTATAAGGCAGAGATATGAAATAGTCATTTCTTCAACAGTTAGAAAGTCAAAAAAATGTACCCAAGGACCAACTGCACAAGTAATAACCAGGATATGATCTGTAAAGTGGGTCAATTTTTGTCAAGCATGAATGGAATCATAAAGGCTCTAGCAGGAGAGAATTCATTATTTAGGATCTAGAGGAATGACCCAACTCGTAAAGGGGCTCTCACCTGGGTACTCAGGATGGCCAGAAAGAGCAGAGGTAGCAGTGGTAACTGGCTTACCCTCCACCTTTCCCCATCAGTCCCCTATACTTAATACATCCCCCACCATACCATCTCATGAGGAATACTTTTACTATCCCAATTGTAGTCTTCTTGTCCTGTTACTCATCTCCACCCATTTTTCATATAAAAATTTAGGCTCAATGTTTAAAAAACACTTAATTGTATACCTGTAATAAGTTGTGCTGACTTGAACCGTTACCGAAATAGATACTTACCTGTATACCTGTATGTGTGCAGGCTAATTTTGTAAACTCAATACATCTGCCATCATTCACGTCCCAGAGACACATCTCTCTATAAAACAAAAGTAATAGCTAACTTTAAATCTGATTTTTAAAAGTACTGTCAAACTTTGTCACGGAGCTTTAAAATTAATCTTTCATTAAAACTGATATATTTCAGGGAAAAGTAATGTATAATCATTGTTGCTGTTTGTGAAAAATTCTGGTCCTCATTCAGCAACCCAACCTCCCCTCCAACCTCCCTACCCCCACCTAGATCCACATTCTTTCCGAGCACATGGTAGGACTGCACTTCCTGGCTCCCTTTTGGTTGGTAAAGTCTTGTGAGTAGTTCTGGCCACAAGTGATACAAGGGCCTCAAGAACTTTCTTTCTCCTCTGCCTCCATTCCAGACAGTGGCTGCTTCTGTCAGTGGTTGCTCCTTTTACCCTCAACCTCAAAGTAAGGAGGATAGTGAAGCAGAGCCCCAATGATATACCAGGGTCAAGTGACAAAAACAAGAAATAAACTTTTAATTCAAACCACCGGGATTTTCCATTAATTATCAGCATAGCTAGAAAATTTAGGACAACACAAAAATTAAAACCAACTTAATTCCAAACCTTTGCAAATTAAATATAATATTCCAATTTTGATTCAGTATTTATTGCATATGTTTTATCAAGTGCATAAAAAAGTTTCCATCTCAAATAAAGATACGGCATTTCAAATTAGAAATATCAATATGTCTTTGTCTTTTGAAGAAACAAGCTTTATTTAACAGAACACAGCATTAATAAAATGCAGTGATGCTAATATTCTCAGGGCTTTCTTCAAGATACCCTTTCTTATATCTCACATGGTATGAAACAATTTTTCAAAGGATGTTCAATCTTACTTGCATGCTAATATGAATTATCCTTTAATTGACCAAAAGGGACTGTACTTTTTACCTGATGCTGCCTCTTCTTGTTACAGTTACTAACTGCAAGGTTCTTTTCAAGTTCATAAATTATGAGGGGTTAATGGGAGGAAACAACTTCTTAAATAATTCTCTTGTAGGTCCCCAACTCCCTTCAATAACATATTATGTATATAGTTTTCTAAGCACCAGAAAAGTTTAGAAACTCCTCACTCTGAACCCTATGACTATTAGCTTAATTTCTCTCTCTCTCAAAACAAGTTATATTCTAAGACTCAGGAATATATAATTACCTTAGTGTATTAACATATATGAATACAACTATATGACCTTTGCACGGCTTCATCTTCCAAACTTATGCTAGCCTAATCATCATTCAGTTGTCTGCCAACTCAATAAAAATACCATGGGGATTAGTGATCAAGCTTTAACTTATAAGGTATTCTGAGTTTCTCAAAAGCAAGACAAAAAATCATAAATTATGAAAAAAGTATCACAAAAATCATTAATAAAGATAAAATTCACATTTATAAAACCATATTCCAAATATCTTTAAGTTCAAACAACTGAAGCATTTATTTAAAAGATACTTCAAAAAGAAAAAAAAATTCCTTACTCACTAATACACTGGTACTATTTGCAATAAAGACTTATGAGGAAAAAAGTGAATAAGAAAATACTTGCCCACTTTCAGATGCACTCACAATATACTGTTTGTCACTAGAAGCACAAGCTTTAGACAAACAGGTGATTGAGGCTGTGTGACCAAACAACAGCGCTCGAGGATTAACCTAGAAATACACAAATATGTTGATATAAGTACCAAATTTTTAAAAATTAATTTTTAGGAATCCTGTTAAATATTCAATATAAACATACAGATACAGATTTGAGAAGAATTGAGAGTAACACAACAGTGACCCCCCACCCACTTAATGCTCATAATCACCCCACCAGGTAGCTCTTAAGTCAAAATTGGAACACCAACAGATAACATTGTTTGCCCAACACATACAGAGAGTGACAGAGCTAGAGGTCAAACAAGGGCAGTCTTAAGCACTAAGCTACAGTGTACTGAAGAATCAGATTAAGAATGTGAGTTAGTAATAAAATAATTTAACCCCACTCATTTCTTAAATAATATGCTCATTGACCTGAAAACATATTTAGAGTCTCTAGATTAACACACTCAAAACTCAAAAAAATAGAGGACAAGCACCCTCCCAAATGCTGATAGCAACATTAACTATCAGGAACGAAGAATGACCTTCACAGACCAATGATTTAGTGACACAGTGCCTTACAGAAAGAAAGGCTTAATACCCACTATTCTAAAATAGTCTCACAATCAGCCCCCCACATTTATCTGTTTTGTACCAAATGGCATGTTATTACTTCAGGTTACTTCAGGGCCTTAGGTTATTTCAGGATGTGTTTTTCAATTAAATATTTAATATATACAAATAACATTTATAATATACATATAAGATATAAAGAATACATTGAGTGACCACATACTCAATACCCAGTTAAAAGAACAGAATATAGGGGCTCCTGGGTGGCTCAGTCGGTTAAGCATCTGCCTTTGGCTCAGGTCATGATCCCAGGGTGCTGGGATCGAGCCCTGCGTCAGGCTCCCTGCTCAGCGGGGAGTCTGCTTCTCCCTCTCCCTCTGCTGATCCCCCTGGGTTGTGCTTTCTCTCATTCTCTTCCTCTCTCTCAAATAAATAAATAAAATCTTTAAAAAAAAAAAAAAAAAGAACAGAATATAACAAAGTCCCTTTGTACCCGTCCTGGTGTTCATTTTGCAAACAATTTATCCTAATTTATTAGTAAAGCTAAATTGTTCAAAATTAAATATTCCACAGGAAGAGTACTGATATTGTTCTACAGTTCTGGTATGTAACAAATGAAGAGATTTTCCAAATAAAATTCTAGTCATCTTTTGTATAATTACAATTAAGAGGGGCGCCTGGGTGGCTCAGTCGTTACGCGTCTGCCTTCGTTCGGCTCAGGTCATGATCCCAGAGTCCTGGAATCGAGCCCCGCATCGGGCTCCCTGCTCAATGGGAAGACTGCTTCTCCCTCTCCCACTCCCCCTGCTTGTATTCCTTCTCTCGCTGTCTCTCTCTCTGTGACAAATAAATAAATAAAAATCTTAAAAAAAAAAAATTACAATTAAGAGAAAATTTCAATCTTTTTTTGCTTAGTTATATAATATGCATTTTTTTCTTCAAAAGGTAAATTTCTATTTTAATTATCTAAGAATCAACCATTGTTTATAGTTAGAATGGGCCTAGAAAGTTTTCCCATACTGCCAAAATTTTCTCATACATCCAACCCCACCTCCATATAGAGATTCAGTAGTCTTCCACTAAAAATTATGCTACTGGTCAATTATTTAATTTCTCCCAAGAAAACCAACTTTACCAATAGTTTTATTTCAAATATACATGGCTTTGTCGGAAAATTCCACTTTCAGCCATAACAAGTAACTAGAATTAGACTTTACTCCCACCATAATCTAGAAAAATAAAAATTTTTGAATGAAGTATAAACTTCACATGATCATCTTAATAGAGGCAATAAACCTTTTGACAAAATTCAATATCCTTTCATAAGTAAAAACTCTCAACAAAATGAATATAGAAGGAATGTACCTCAACTTTATAAAGGCTATAAATGATAGCTCACAGCTAACATAATACTCAACAGTGAAAAACTAAAAGCCTTTCCTCTAAGATCAGGAACAAGACAAGAATATTCACTCTTCCTACTGCTACTCAACATAGTACTGAAAGTCTAAGCCGGAGCAATTAGGCAAGAAAAATAAATAAAAGGCATGCAAATCAGAAAGAAAGAAGTAAAATTTTCTGTTTGCAGATGACATGATCCTATATATCCTAGAGACTCTACCAAAAGACTGCTAGAACTAATCAACAAATTGAGTAAAGCTACAGGATACAAAATAAACATACAAAAATCAGTTGCACTTCTATACACTAACAACGAAATAGCTAAAGGAGAAATTAAGAAAGTAATCATATTTACAATAGAATCAAAAAGAATAAAATACGGCTGACCCTTGAACAAGTAGAAGTCTAGAAAAATCTAGAAAAAGACTACTGGAACCAAAAGAGAGTAACACAGTCACAGTACACAAGTCAAAATACCAAAAAGCAATGGTATTTCTAAATACTGACAATGAACATTTATAAAATAAAACTAGAATATATGGCTCTGCCACCCACTGTCAGAGGAAAGCAAAAAAAAAAAAAAATGTGTAAATGAAACGATATTTCTGACTATATCTTCATTAAGTACAAAGTTAGCTAAAAATATAAAAGTTTAATATTTTCATAAATCAACATGTTTCTTTAATGAACAGAAATGTATTCAATTCATTAAACAGAAGTTCTCTAGAGTTTAAAGAGAAAAAAAAGATGGCTTTAAGAAACTGCTCTGAATGACCACATGTATCAGAGACAATATCCAAGCCAACTTTTATTTAGCTTTCTTTTCCCCTGGATAAACAGTCCAATTCCCTCAATATCTTTCAAAAGATCTATTTCTCTCCTAGCTCCACTCCCATCCCCCAACACTTCTCACTCCCCCCAGTCACCTTTATCCCTCTTACTTGAACTTAAATAAACACAACACTCTAGTAAAATCTATGTGACAAAATTAGTGAAAGAATTGTTTCTAAGCTCTCATAAGTGAGTCTCATTGCTTGTAATCATTCCAGTAAAATGTGGTGTGGTATTTTTTCTTTTCACAACTACACTGATGATTCATATTCAGGTCGCTATCAATCCTGGAGGCATATACATTTTATGACACTTCCCAGCTACTTTTCAGCATGTATACCTAGCCTTCACATGTCATTCAATGTGTACATTTTTCCAGTTCTAGCTATACCATGTCTAGGTGTATACCTAAGAGTAACACACACATGTCCACACAAAAACTCATACACAAATATGCAGAGCAGCATTATTCCATATGGCCAAAGTGCACACACAACCCAAATGCCCATTAACTGATATATTAAATTTAGTATATTCATATAATGGACTATTATTTGGCCATTTTTTAAAAAATGAAGTATTGATACATGCTATAATACAGATAAACTTTGAAAATAAAAAGGCAGTCACAAAAAACCCACGTATCATTCCATGCATATGAAATGCCCAGAACAGGCAAACCTACACAGGAGTTATATCTGGGATATGGGATATTTACCATATCAAATTAACATCCTTACATATATTGCACATTATAAAAAGAGACAGAAAACAGATTAGTGGTTGCTCTGGGAGGAAATGGGGATATTGGGAATGACAGCTAAAGAGTACAGGGTGTTTCTGAGGTAATGAAAATGTTATAAAATTGACTATGGTGATGTACACTTTTTATTTTTTAAATTCAATTTATTTAAACTAAAAAGAAAAAACAAAAACAGTTCACCCATTTCTCCCACCCCCACCCCTGCAACCACCAATCTGCTCACTATGAGTTCATTTTAAAAATATATATATATTTTTTAGATTCCACATATAAGAGAGATCATACAGTATTTGTCTTTCTCTGTCTGACTTATTTCACTTAGCATGATGCCCTTTGAGGTCCATCCATGTCCCAAATGGCATGATTTCATTCTTTTTTATTGTTGAATAATATTCCATTGTGTGTGTGTGTGTATACATAACATAATTTCTTTAAATGAGTGAATTGTATGGTATGTGAATTTTATCTCAATAAGGCTGTAACAAAAACAAGAAAAATTACTTAAAAAATCAACTTGCTTGCCCTAGATTCCATGCCAGCTACCACCCCATTTTCCATTACCCTTTACAGAAAAATCCCTGGGGAAAATTGCCAGAGAGGGAGATTAAAAAATGGGGGGAAAAGGAGAATAAATCCTGAGGTGTTATACTAGAATTGGAGGTATTAGTGTGATGTGTGTGTGTGTGTGTGTGTGTGTATTCCCAACTCCTATTTCCCTAGTCTGTCCACTGTGAAGGCCTAGGAGCACAACACACTGAGCACTCCACAGTAGGAAAGAATGGCCATAAATAATCAAATTTATGCCTTATAAAAAGTTTTGCTCTCTTCAAGACATTCACCTTAGAAGGTATAAATGTTCAAAACTATTTTTTAATACCTTTTTCAAAACTTGCTTCAGTATGGATAAACATCTTTTGAAAAATCTTAAATGTAACATATTAAGCCACTTAGGGTACATATAACAATTGCAAATAGCCAAAAACCAGCAGAAGTCAATTCTGATGAATAATACAAATTATCAACCTGCATAATAGCAATTTGAGTCAAAACATATTTCACAGAAAATATGAGGCCAAGTATTATTCTGGGACTACTGTTTATCTATTAAGAAACTCCTTGTGTCTAAAAAATACAATAGGCATTTCAAATACTCACTTCTAATTCTACTGAAAGATCCCAGAGACATATTTGTCCATCATGGCATCCAGTTACAATTGTGGTCCCATCGTCTGTTAAAAGTACTGCTGAGATGCAATGTGTTGGTGCTTTGCGACCCCAAAGAACAATGGGTAGGACAAGGCTGTTTCCCGCCATTGTGTTTTCAAACCTGGAAATGTTGTAAAAATAATGTCAAATATTACAATATTTCCTTCTAAAACATACATTTGTATTATGAATCCAAGTTGAACTTCCTGAGTGCCAAAAATGCTCCCAAATATTATATATATGACACACATATAATGAAAATACATAAAAACTCATTTTATATATATAAAATCTAATTAAAATCTTAGTTAATTCTCACAGTAAATCATGCAGCAAGTACTATGGTCACGCCTCTTTCACAGATAAAGACATTGAGTCAGAAAGAGTCACAAGGTGAAAAGCAAAGTAATGGAGCCCAAATCAAAACCCAGGCGGCCTGACTTCAGAACCTAAGATCTTATTAACCAATGACAAGTAAGGTCTATAAATTTGTTAGGTTTCCAAACCAGTAATAGATGCCAATGTCCAAGAAAAACTCAGTGTTGTTTCACAGTGTGCTAAACATTAAAAAGAGTATGTTCAGTGGGAAACTCATTCAACTATATTTACTACAAACCTATTATGTCTCAAGATCATGAATGTCTTTTATTGTAAATTCTGAAACTTGAGGAAAAAGGATTTCTCTTTAAGTGTATATGGGAGTACAGGAGAGCACAAATACAAGGAATTATTCCTTCGTATGACAAAAATCAAGATCTAGTCGGTGAAACAACCAGATTTAAGTGTTATAAACTGTGTGGCTAAAAACTAAATACTAGTTCAGAGAAGTTAGAGAGAAATGAAGAATGGAATAATCAAAGAGGGCTCCACAGAAGACAGAAGACTGCCAGATCTTATGAGACACTAGAGGGTCACCTATAGGCTTGACAAATGGGAAGAAATGGTCACTGTAGTGATTTTTCCTGCCCCAAATTTTTAAGTGACAACAAATGATATATGTATAACTATAGACTCTTTAGAATGCTAAGACTACCCATACAATTTTCAGAAACACTTTAAAGGAATAATCATTTTCTATGAAGAAAACTAGTTTGATAGCCATGGTCTTATTGTTAGCTGGTTCCAGCAAGACTCTTCTTTAAACCACTACCTACACTTTAAAAAAAAATAAAAATTAAAACTAAAACTAAAACTAAAATCGCTTTTAAAGAATAGTCACTGAATGGGGTGCCTGGGTGGCTCAGACAGGTAAGCGTCTCACTCTTGATTTTGGCTCAGGTCATGATCTCAGGGTCCTGGGATTAAGCCCTGCATTGGGCTCCGCTGTGGAGCCTGCTTAAAATTCTCTCTCTCCCCATCCCTCTGCCCATTTCCTCCCTCATGCACTTAACGCTCTTGCTCCCTCTCAAAAAAAAAGAAAAGAAAAGAAAAGAAAAAGAAAAAAAGGGCACTGGAAATAAAATAAGGGAAGTAAAAAATCTAAAAATCTATGTTACTTCTTTTATTTTTTATTAGAATACGTGACTTTCATCAGTTTGTGCCCCCCAAAACTTCATATTTTTTTTTTT